TTTTCAGTTTTTCAGTCTGTCACTCACCGGCGGTTGGCCACCACCGTTTGGTGTTCACTTTTCCATTGCACCTCACCTTGTTGCTGCACCTTTCCTTTGTAATTTGACTGTAAATCTTTCTTATTCTCTCATTTTTTTAAATTTTTTTTATGTTGGGTTTCTCTGAAAATAAATTTTTTGGTGGTATAGTTAATATTTAATAGTATTATAGTATAGACTTATAAGTTACTAAACCCCTTTGACCCTTTCATTCTCTCCCTTGTTTTCCTTTTATTCAATTCAGATTTGATTTTTTTTCTCTGTTCCAATCTTTAATTTATAGTTTATTATGTTATTGTGTATATTGTTCCCTTGATTCTCTGATTGTATTAGCTATTTAGCTTTTGTATGATTTTTGTGTAAATATATGCTAAGATGATGTGTTTCATGATCAGATAAGTTTTTAAAGCATTTTGTTGTTTAGATTTTTTCAGTTTTAATTATAATTTATACCAAAAATGTATATGACATCCTTAAATTAATTATGAGTTAGATTGAACATTTGTTTTGTAGGAAAGATTGAGATGGATAAATTTGTCGTAAAGATGAATTATTCTCAACCAAGTTCTAGTTCTAGTGTGCAATTATTGAGTCAGGCAATACCTCCAGAAAACCGTGCGAATGTCAATCTTTCTCTTCTTATCGACGAGCTTGACTCAGAATCATTTAGCACCGATCCAGGAGAAAGAATACCCATTGCTAATTATAACCTTCAATTACGAGATGCGGTGAGGAGATATTACATTCAAAATGGGCCTTGTCAACCTACCAATCATCAATTTCCTAAAACTACAATAGGAGGAAGAATGCACCAATTTAAACCAAGTTGGTTCAAACGTTCATTTTTAAGATGGTTGGAGTATAGTGTGAAAAAAGATGTCGCATATTGTCTATGTTGTTATTTGTTCAAAAATGAATTCGTTCATGAAAGTGCGGATGAATATTTTACAAAAAGTAATTTTAGGACATGGAATAAGGCTTTTGAAAGGTTCCATTTGCATGTCGGTGAGATTAGTAGTGTCCATAATAAATGTTTCAACAAGATGCTAGATTTGTCAAATCATCATCAATCAATTCAAGTTGTTTTAGACAAGCATTCAGAGAAGGTGAAAAGTGAGTACCGAATGCGCTTGGAAGCCTCGTTTGATGTTGCAAGACGTCTCTCGCATCATGGATTACCTTTTCGAGATCATGACGAAAGTGAATATTCAACAAATCAAGGCTTATTTCTAAGCTTTTTGCGGTGGCATGGGGACAAACATCCGGATGTGGGAAAAGTAATAATAGAAAATGCTCCACAAAATGATACTTTAACTTGTCCTATGATTCAAAAGGATATTGTCAATGCTTGTGCAAAAGAAACATTGAAATCTATAATTGAAGACTTGAATAGAGATTACTTTGGTATATTAGCCGATGAATCCAAAGATATCTCACACAAAGAACAAATGGCTCTTATTTTGCGGTATGTTAATAAAAATGGTGAAGTGGTAGAACGATTTGTTTGCCTTGTCCATGTTAGTGATATATCAGCATACTCATTAAAGGAAGAAATATATTCTTTGCTTTCGGATCACTCACTAAGTACATCCAAAATACGTGGACAAGGTTATGATGGAGCTAGTAATATGAAGGGAGAGATAAATGGTCTCAAGACTTTTAATTATGAAAGATAGCTCATCGGCATATTACATTCATTGCTTCGCTCATAAATTACAATTAACACTTGTAGCTATTGCTAAAAAGCATTTGGATGTTGATGAATTTTTTGATCATGTTACTAATATGTTGAATGTTATTGGAGGATCTTTCAAGCGCAGAGAATTGCTTCGTCATCATCAAGCTGAAGAGTTGGAGAAATTACTCGAGTCCGGTGAAGTTATTACCGGACAAGGATTAAATCAAGAATGTGGATTTCAAAGACTAGGTGATACTCGTTGGGGATCCTATTTTAAAACATTGGATAACTTTATTGCTATTTTCTCTTCTATTGTTCGTGTGCTTAAATTGATTGAGTATGAAGGTTCTACCTCACATGAAAGAAATCAAGCAGAGTATCTTTTGGGTAAGATTAGAACATTCAAATTTATTTTCGTGCTTCATTTGATGGTGAAAGTGTTGGCCATATCAAATGAATTGAGCAAGATCTTACAAAAAAAGGATCAAGATATTGTTAATGTCGTGGTGTTTCTTGACATTACAAAGAAAAGGTTGCAAGATATGAGGGAAACTGGATAGAAATCTCTATTAGATGATGTTTCCTCATTTTGTGATAGGCATGATATTTTGATTCCGAAGATGGATGAGTCTTACTTTCCTAAAAAGTCTAAGCGTAAGTCTAATGTTTGTTACTCACATCACTTGCGTGTTGAAATCTTTTGTGCTGTGATTGATGTACAACTTCAAGAGCTTAATGAACGTTTTGATGTAGTAAGTAGTGATTTGCTTCTTGGGATGGCTAGCTTGAGTCCAGTTAATTCCTTTGCTAATTTTGATAAGGATAGAATAATGACACTGGCAAAATGTTATCCAAATGAATTTGATAAATTCCAGCTTCGGGATTTGAGTTATCAACTCGATACCTTCATAATTCATATGCGAGGGGATGATCCCAAGTTCTCCAACTTGCAAGGAATTAGAGATTTAGCAAAAGCATTGGTTGAAGCAAATCTTGTGGAGACTTATGCACTTATTTATTTACTCATGAAGTTGACTTTGATTTTACCTGTTGCTACTGCAAATGTGGAGAGAGTACTTTCATCCATGAAGCGGATAAAAAATGAAGTGTGAAATAGCATTAGTGATCAATATTTAAATGATTGTTTAGTTTGTTATATAGAACGTGAAGCATTTGAAAAGGTAAGTAATGATGCTATCATTGACCGTTTTTAAAATATGAAAACTCGTCAAGGACAGTTGTAAATGAATGATCTTCATGTATGTTTTTGTTTACTCAAGGATGAAAGAATTATGTATGTCTTACTTATTAGTTGTAGTGACCAACTTATTATGGTAGTATTTTGTTAATTGGAAGATATTTCCAATTGTCAGAAAATGAAAGAAGTGGTTGTCTTTTTGTACTTTTCATGTAGAAAAAATTTTATGATATTGGTATTACTGCTGAAAATTTTATGATGTGCGCTAAGTTGTCATTATTTTTTTTCGTTCGATATATTTATCTATATAAATGGAAAAGATGAATAGCTCGAACCGAAGCACAAATTTGATCAAACCGACTAAATATTTATCCCATTTGGACAGTATAAATAATAGTACATTTATGTATAAAATAATATGGCACCCGAAACCTTCAAATCTTAGATCCGCCTCTGAACTAAATTACACAAAATGGTAAATAGTTATTCAATAGAGATACGAAAAACTAAAATTTGCACTCCAAACCAAAGAAAGAAAATTTTCAAAAGCCAATAGATAAACTTTAGGTAATATTAAATTCAGATTTAGTGCCAAATTTACACAAGAAATGTTCCTTTCAATATTTATTTTCATCATAATTCTTTCATTGTTAGGATACAACGATCTTGGCTGACCTCCTTTCTAACATCCTAATTCAACTTCTTATTTGTCTTGCCTTTTCATGCTTTATTTTTTTTCCTGCCTCGCTCGACTGCCATCTATGAGCATTTATATCCCTTTTTCCTAGTTACATAATTATTTTCGACTTTAAGTGCCATGAAAAATTTTCAGAAAAAGAAAAAATATTCCTTAAAGTTTCGAATGTAACTAAAAAAGATAAAAGTTATTTTTGAATTCCCGAACATAAATAAAAGAGGAAAATACATCAAGAAATTTCATTAGATTTTTTATGTGGACGTAAATAAAAGAAGACGTGTATTTTCTGTCTTATTTGTAGGAAAATAATGTATATATGTAACGACCCGACCGGTCGTTTTAAGAGAATTACCCCCGAACCCCTATTTATTGCTCCCCCTACTTCAGTTAGTGGTTATGCAACTTGCCGGGAAGATTTGTTTTTGGTTTCGAAATGAAATGGGACATATAGTCCCTAAAATAGAGGTTTAAGTCATAGGAATTGACCGTAGTTTGAACTGTATGAAGATGACTCCGTAATGGAGTTTTGACGGTTCCTATAGCTCCGTAAAGTGATTTTGGTCTTAGGAGTGTATTCGGATGTTGAATTGGAGGTCCGTAGGTCATTTTAGCGCTAACTGGCGAAAGTTGGAAAAAAAGATGATTTTTGAGAAGTTTGACCGGGAGTTGACTTTTTAATATCGGGTTCGGATTCAGATTCTGAAAGTTAAAATATGTCCGTAATGTCAATTATGACTTGTGTGCAAAATTTGAGGTCAATCGGACTTGATTTGGTATGTTTCGGCGTCGGATGTAGAAGTTTGAAACTTTAAAGTTCATTAGGCTTGAATCGATGTGTAATTCATATTTTTAGCATTGTTTGATGTGATTTGAAGGCTCGACTAAGTTCGTGTGATGTTTTAGGACTGGTTGGTATATTTGGTTGAGGTCCTGGGGGCCTCGGGTGAGTTTCAGATGGTTAACGGATCATTTTTGGGACTTAGAAGATTTTTCTCGTGCTGGGTTGGTTCTGGTGTAATCGCACCTGCGCAAGATTGACCACAGGTACAAAGCGAGTAATTGGTCACAGATGCGGGGCTGGGGGACTTGGCCAATGGTTACAGATGCGACGTGAAGACCTCAGGAGCAGAGTCGCTTCTGCGGAAGATTGGTCGCAAAAGCGGACGAGTGTGGGAAGGCATGTCCGCAGAATCGGACGTGTTTGCGCAAGTGCGCACCCGCAGAAGCGGAATGGGTGCCAAGAGCTGATTCCGCAGAAGTGGATCACGGACCACATAAGTGGTTTTACAGGCGCGTATAATTGGCCGCAGATGCGAAAAGCTTGGACAGTCTTTAAAATCTAAGGGCTTCGTGATTTTTGTCATTTTGGACTTTGCAAACTCGGTTTAGGGCGATGTTTGAGAGCATTTTCTAGGGGTTTCTTGAGGTAAGTCTCTTGCGCTTATTTTGGTCAATAATCTTGTTTCCCTGTAATTTTTCCCACCTAGATTATGTGTGTTTAAGTTGGAATGTGGGAGTTTAAGGCTAGGGATTTGGAGATTAAAATTTGGGGATTTGAGTGTCGACTTGGTGTCGGATTTTCATAATTTTGGTATGGGTGAACTCATGGTTGAATGGGTGTTCGTATTTTATGACTTTTACCCGATTCCGAGACGTGGACTCGGGTTGACATTTTGGGCCAAATTTTCGATTCTTTGCTAAAGTCGTAGTTTCATTATTTAAATTAGTTTCTTGTAGTTGTATTCATGTTATGTAATTGCTTTTGGCTAGATTTGTGCAATTCAGAGTCGGAAAGTCTAGGGAAAGACATTCTTACTGATTGATTGTCACGACCCAAATTAACCCTTCGTAAGGTGTCGTGATGGCACCTAGTCTTTACGACTAGGTAAGCCTAACATTTGCGGAAAATATAAAGAAATCGCAACATTTTTTTTAAAGGTAAATAATATATTTTAAATAGCCAAGAGTAGTACCACTCGGCATACACAAAATAATTTCTCAAGACCCGGAATATCACTAAGTCACAAGCTGCTATAATCTATGTAGCTCTATACAAAAGTCTAAAGACAATAAGGAAAATCTCTAGACGAGGGAGTAGAAGGGGACTCCGAAGATCTGCGGACGCAAGCAGAGGTACCTTGAAGTCTCCTAGAATAAGCAGCACGTACTAACCCCGAGGCTGATAGCTCGCACCTGGATCTACACACGAAAAATATGTGCAGGGAAGGGCATGAGTACACCACAATGGTACCCAGTAAGTGCCAAGCCTAACCTCGATCGAGTAGTGACGAGGTCAGGTCAAGGCCCTACCAGAGTAAATGTAATAAATTAAACAGTAAAAGATATAAGTAGAATTTACGGTAACATAGTTAAAGAAATTCTCAAAACTTTAACAGTTAAGGTAGCCCTCGGCTCAAAACATGGTAAACACAGTGAGAAATCTCTCGGGATACCGTCCCGTAGTTTCAAATGAATATGCAGTACAGGAGGATCTCTCGGAATATGTCCGTAGTCCCAAAGTAAATATACAGTACTGGGGGATCTTCCGGAATACGTCTGTAGTCCCAAAGTAAATATGCAGTACAGGGGGATCTCCCGTAATACGTCCGTAGTTCCAAAGTAAATATGCAGTACAGGGAGATCTCCCAGAATGCGTCCGTAGTCCCAATTTAAATATGCAATACAGGGGGATCTCCCGAAATACGTCCGTAGTCCCAATTTAAATATGCAATGCAAGATGAAATGGCAGGTATGGCATCGAGTTATACAGTATATACTGGACATAGATAAGGCAAATAAGGACTTAACTAAACATGACGCACAAAATGTCAATTAGGCAGTTAAAACACGTAAGCATGCTTTTCTAGTCTAAACTACACAATTAAACATATTAGTACAATTAATAAGAGAAGCAATTTATGATTTAAAAAGGTTAAACATGATGTTTGCAATAATAGCCTATGTACGTACTCGTCACCTCACGTACACGGCGCCCACACACCAAATAATATCAAGATATCTTAAGGGAAAAGTCCCCAACACAAGGTTAGGCAAGCCACTTACCTCGAACCGCTCAAATCAACTTGATATCACGTTCTTTCCATGAATATCCGACTCCACATGGCCCAAATATATTCAAAACAGTACAATACCATCAATACGCGCTAATGGAATGAATCCCACAAGTAAAACTACAAAATTAGGCTAAAAATCCAAAATTGGCTCAAACGCGGCCCTCGGGGCCCGCATCTCAAAACCCGACATAATTCATGAAACTAGAAAGCTCATTCACTCACGAGTCTAACCATATCAATTTTACTAAAATTCAACACCAAATGGTCCTCCAATCCACAATTCAAACTCCCCAATCCCTAGTCTCCAACTTCAAATTTTTACCTTAAATACACATTAACTAGGTGGGAAAATATATGGCAAGGCAAGATTATTGATAAAAAATAAGCACAAGGAACTTACTTCAAGAAATGCCTCGAAAATGCTCTCGAAAATTGCCCCAACCCGAGTTTGCAAAGCCAAAAATGATAAAAATCGCGAAGCCCTTCGGTTTTAATCACTGCCCAGGTATTTTCGCACCTGCGGAACCTGGGCTCGCACCTGCGGGTGCGCTTATGCGGAAAAACGTGCGCATCTGCGCAATTCACTTACCC